GACTTTCTAATAATACATAAAGAACTGCAAACCAATCCATAATGAGCACTTATCATTCTTTGCTTCCTTTTTTTCTTTGATGCTTCATGTCTGATATTTGCTTGGTGAGTTTTTTAAAGTTAAGAAATTCTGTTGTGTTTAACATTTTGGCTTCCTGTTGGTGTAGTTTTTCTCTCCAAATGAACAAACGTACTTAGACTGAAAACTGAGCCGTTCAGGATCCTCTTAAGATCCTCCTATATTACAGCAAAGATACCCCACATTTAAATTTATCCAATCTCTCACAAAGTCATAGTAATGATGTCCTCAGTTGCTTTAGTCCATGTGTTAACTCTGTGCTCTCTTTATAGACAGGATATATGCCTTCCTTCTCTTGTTTTGGTAGTGAGTGGTAAAACAAAAGGCCATGAAGGAGCTCTTGGTCATGCCTGTTTTGATTCCACAACTGGTATTGGGTACACTCCATCTCAAGCCTCCTATGCTAATTTCTTAATCTTCAAATTTTCTGACTTTAGATGAGGAATTTTGAGTGCACTGTATATTCCAGGATATGTCTTGTTTAACTTCTCCAAAAAAGTAATTAGAATGAAACGCAGTGTTTCATATGTGGTTTTAAAGCAGATGAGTCAGTTCAGTTGAGCTAGACATTTCTTCTGAAACATCCAATACATTTATTTAGATTGGGGAGGAAACTAAGAAATAAGAAGGAAAAACCAGCAGATTCAGCAGATCTTATCTCACAATTTCCCTCTCCTGTTTTCATTTGCACTTCTATTTCCGTGCAATATTTCATTTCTTTATGCATCTATCACTGTTTGCTTCTGTCAGGAGTTCAAAGGCAGCCTGCTTTCATAAAGGGGAGGCAGTATTGACTGATCTATAATATTGTTTCTACCTTTTTTGACCAATTCTCAATGCATATTTCAAGTTTTGAGAAACATTTCATGAATCACTGGGCAGTTTGAAAAATCTATAGTGTAGGCTCATTACTTTGCTGGCTGCTGAATGTTTTCCATTGGTTGTGTTTCAAGGCAAAAATGCAGCCCATTCTCTCAGGAAAAAGAGGTTAAAATTTCATATATACATCAATAATAAAACAACACATGGAGGTGATATCAGTGTGATGTATTTCATTTTATATATACTTTTGACTGCCCTGCTGTCCATTAATCCACACAAACTCTCATCATATTCCAACCTCCTTAGCACCTTTAGTCTTGCTTTTCTAGGTAGTCAGTCAAAAAAAGCCTCCTTCTTTCCTCTGAAATGTGGCACTCCCAGCCATCCTCCCAAATGTCACTGGCTGCAGGCCCAGGACAAGCACTGTTCTGTTCTATGCTAGTGATCATGGTTTAAGCTCCAACCTCATGGGGCTGCAGAAGTGGGAGATTTACACTTCCAAGTGAGCTCCTTGCCCCAGCAAGCAGAGACAGATAAAATGGCTGTAGTTTATTTCGGTAGAGCCAGGAGGCACAGCTCCTGAGGAGATAGATCCAGGGTTTCACAGACTACAGAATATAATGGAAATGACAAAATGATGCAATTTACCAGGAGTCATTTTTAGGTTAATTTTAAGTATTTAACAAATATTTTCTCATGTTTCCCACCTCTCAAATCTTAGTAACTCATTCTGCATTTCAAAGGCATAAGGATATCAAAGTGGTCCTGATACAGTTAACCTCGTCCTTCCAATCTATTTTAAGCACCTCTATCACCAATATTTTTCTGAAGAATGCCTTCATACACGTAGTGTGATGGGAATGTATTTAAGTGTTTTCAGCACTCCTGCAGAGTGACATGCAGAACTCACCTAGAGTTTAACTACTTGTATCACACCAGATCCCTTTTCTTCTCACTCTTTTGTGAAGTGTAGTAGATAAACAAAAACTTCCTTTTTCTTATTCTCTTGAAAATTAGGCACAGATTTAGTTCTCTAAAATATGATCTTTTTTTTTTTTTTTTTTTTTTTTTTTTTTTTTTTTTCCCAGCTAAGGAGCCACACTGCCATCAATAAGTCACAAAATAATTAAACATTTAAGACCGTCTGGGCTTTTGTTCTGAGGAGGTGACAAGGCTGAAGGGTAGCTGCAGCATCCAGTTTAGAGGCATTCTCTGTACTGACTGCATGTGTAAACACCCTGCCTCTGGTCATGGTGGAAAGGAGACAGGCCCAGCAAGATCACACAGCCAGTAGACAGTGCACTTAGGCAAAACAACATCTGGATCATCAACAGAAACACCAACCATTGCCCTCATCCCAAATTCCACTGAATATTTTGGCTACCAGTTGCTGAGGTGCACTGGCATAAAGGCTCCTCCACTCAAGTACTCATTGCAGGCCAACCATCATGTGGAAAGTATGTTTATAATTGTGTATTATATTAAGGTGTAAATTATGCTATATAATCTCATGAACTTCATGAGAAATCAGCCATGGCTCAAAAGGGTTATTTTATAACTATCTAAGGAAATTTCTGAAAGACAAACTGGGCTAAAATGCATTATAAAAAGGTAGTAATTTCATACATCCAGACATCTCAGGGGAAGTTGATGTTTGAGCAGTTCTATTTAGGAATCAGTGAAAGAGCTCTATTGCTCCAAGTCCATTGTCAGTTTTGTGAGGTTTGTCTCTCTCTGCACCACTATTTCTTTCACAGATTTCTCACTCTGCATGGATTTTTATGTTGTCATTAGCATCTTAGGTCCTCCTAAAGCTGCTACCAGCAGATTTTTATTCCATATGGCTATTTTGTCAGCCTGGAGCTACAAGAAAGATGAAAATGGGAAGGGTAAACTTGAAGAGGAGACAACCCAGACCATTCCATGCAGATGAAAAGTTCTCCTCACTCAGATTTGGTTGAAAAGCCCTACTACCACTCTGCCACTTTTTCTCCTGGGCTAGGGAAAACAGCTGTTTATGTTTTAATCCGTCTTTACCCCCAGCTCTAAGGAGGAATAAAAATGCATGGATCATTCATTATCCCTTGCACATAGAAAATAAATTGGTTGAAGCAGAAAGTCAAATGGACTTTAAGAAGTTTTCTGTTTTGACTCATTTCCAAGTTGATTAAATGCTCTTAAGTGCAGCCTTGCTCTTCTCTGCAAATTTAGCTATTGGGTATACAGATTCATATCTACATGTATGCAGATTCCAATAGTGTTAAAAAACCCAAACCTCCAGATAGCTAGAACTATTAGTTCATAGGAATTTAAAATTAAATTAAATAGCTGGGCTGTTTTCCAGATGATTTTTAAAGTTCCTGTGCTTACACAAAAACCTCCGTAGGATTTACATTACACTACTGTATTTGTTTCAGTGAGCATTTGACTGCCAAGAATACGGTCTATGACCAAAATGGCAATCTAATTAAATATTTGACAAGCAGAAAGCTGGACATTATTCAAGTCAAGCATTAAATTATAAAATTTAGTTTGTCTCCTTTATCAGTAGATTTTTAAATCAGCGTATTCTACCAAAACCCGTAAGTTTAATGAATTTGGTCAGACATACTGTGTAACAGATGTCTAACATACAGCCAGGAGCCTCAATCATAAAAATGATGCTTTACTTTGGCACGGCAAAATATATATGAAAGACTCAGAAAGGTCAGTCATCAGCAACCTGCTTGCTGGTAGTTGAGAAACAGCACTGTAAAATGCATGAACTGCCTTCTGTAGTCTCTTACAAGAAACCTTGGAGAGCCAGAGATAATTTGCTTTCAATGATTCATCAAGTTGGCCCTTTGTTTCACTAATTTGAGTGTCAAGTGCAACCACATAATAAAGAATTACCCAGACCTGATAAGATTCTTCTTACATTGCTCTGTTTGTCTGAACAACTGGTTTCTGTTGGTTTCTGTTGAAACCAACCCTACAAACTGCATAAACAGCAAGTGTGTGTGCAACTGGCGTCTTCTGTGGAATGATAAAGTGTGTTTACTGCGTTATCTGGTGGTGGTGAACCAAACCTTCATGTTTCTTTTTCCTTTCTTAAAAGGCACTAATTGCAGCATGCTGTGCCCATGCTAGAAATGGTATTTGTTTCACTGTTAGTCCTCCAATGAATTAACAAAGATAAAAAACGGAATTCAATGACAATTCCAGCCTTGAGAAACGTGCTATTGTGATCATGGTTGAGTTACCCTTCTGATAGTCTTCTCCTTAATGTAATTTTTAATACTACATAGCTATAGGTTAGATTTGAAGCCATATATTAGAGCTACTATTTCAATGAGTAGTTTCAAGTGAAATAACTTCATGATTAGGGGATAGATTTTTTCTAATGCTGTCAGTCTAATAACTTCGTAAGAGATCAATCCTAAAAATGGCTTGTGTATTAGGGGCACATTTATAAATGTAGAATTCCCACACTGATAAAGTTTTCACAACAAAAAAAGAATAGAAAACTTTAGAAGGCTGCTTGTGAGAGTGGGAAAATGTCCGCCTTCAGAAACCAGAGAGATCGCAAGGGGAACAAGCCTGTGAGATTTGATTTATAAGACGAAGAAAGCTTCTGTCAAAATGGTTTGAAACCGGTTGTTAGAGCTTAGGCAAGATTGTGTGAGGGGGCATTGTCAGTGCCGCACAAGGAGTTGAGGGCGTCGATTTTTTTACTAACGTGAATCTAAAGTATTGCCGGATCGCTGCCAGCTCCAGGAAACCCAGGCAGCGGTGGGAGAACGAGAAATTTTCCGCTAGGGAAAAATACAAATAATGTAACGTGAAGGTCGTGCCCTGATACCACAAGCAGGACAGAGGCCTGGGCAGAGGGAGGGAGGGAGGGAAGGAAGGAGCTCTTGCTCCTGCTCCTGCTCACTCGGGGCCGGAGAGGCGCCGCCCGCCCGGTGCCCGCCCGGTGCCCGCCCGGTGCCCGCCCGGTGCCCGCCCGGTGCCCGCCCGGTGCCCGCCCGGTGCCCGCCCGGTGCCCGCGGCGCTCCCTTCGCTGCCGCTCCCCACCCCGCGGGCTCGCCGGCGGAGCAGCGCCCGAGCGGGAGGCAGAAGTTAACTTCCACCTGCCCTGAAGAAGCCGCTGCGCCGGCAGCAGGAGGCGGAGGCGGAGGCGGAGGCAGGCGGGGCAGCCGAGGACCCGGCTCTGGCAGGCTCCGAGGGTCCGGCCGAGTGTAATTCCCCCCTAATCCCCGCCACGGCGGCGCTTCCCTGGCCGAGCCATGTCTGCGGCTTCCCCGCCATGCCGAGCCTAGCGGGGAGCGGGAGGACTGGCGGCCGGGAGGCGCACAAAATGAAGACCCTGATGGTAAGTGCATTGTTGGCACGGCTCATCCCGGCTCCGGCGGCGGGGAGGAGAGCAGGGGAGCGGCGCGGAGCGGAGCTGCCCCGGGCACCCTGCACACGCTCCAGCCTTCACCGGGCTCCATCCCCGCGGCTCTCCGGGATCGCGCGAAGGCGACCAAACCTTGGTGGCGGCGGCCAAGAACTTTCCGCCTGCTTTCTTTTATTCGTGTTGCTCGTGGTTTGGGGGTTTTGTGTGTGTGTGCGTTTTAAGGAGCTTACAGAAAACCGATCTGCTTAAAGGACGAGGCTGGAGGTATTTGGGCGGGGGGAAGCACTACGGTCCCCAACACTTGTTAAAATGCACGAATGAGATGCCCGAAGGGGGACGGCGGCACGGGGATGAGAGGCGCCGGGTAGCCGGGCGCACGGAGGGGAGAAGAAGCGAGGAAGCAGGGCTGGGGGAGAAGGAGGGGGGCACGGGAGCGGGCTGGCGAGGGGGCAGGAGGAGGACGGAGGGGCTTCCCCAGTTCTCTCCTCGCACTTCTGGCGGGTGTCTGGCGGGTGAAAGTTGCGGGCGCGCCGCGGCGGGCCCCGCGGCGGGGGGAGCCCGCTGAGCCGGCTCTGTCTCTGCCCCCCGCAGCGCCACGGGCTGGCCGTCTGCCTGGCGCTCACCACCATGTGCACCAGCTTGTTGCTCATGTACGGCGGCATCGGCATCGGCGGGGGCCGCCCGGAGCCGCGGCGGCGGCAGCAGCAGGTGGCGGCGGTGCCCAGCCGCCCGCCGGAGCGCGGCCAGCGCCACCCGGCTCTGCCCGTCGGGGCCGGCCTCCTGGAGGGCTACATCAGCGTCCTGGAGCACAAGGTGAGCCGCCGGCCGCGGGACCCCCTCCCTCCCGGGACCCCGCGCTGCCCCGGCTCCCTCGGGGGGCACCGACCCCGATCCACCGAGCTCTCCCTCCTGCCCCGTGCCACGCTCGGCTCCCCTCGGCGCGGTCGCCGTGCCCTGCCTGCCTCGCTGTCGGGTTGGCTTAAGCGGCCTCCGGGTGCCGTCCCGCCTGGCCCGAGAGCAGGAATTACCGGGGTCAGGAGCCGGGCTCCAGCCCGCGGTTGGGTATTAGTGCAGTGCTGCTTCTCTTCTCCCTTGCACAGTAGAAAGGGGGGAGCTCGGGGGTAGGGTGAAGTGTTTCTAATGTCGTATGCTCTAGGTGCAGTACAAATGTATGTTTATAATTATATTAGTAAGGGTTAAAGAATGAGATTTATTTACTGGAGGGCAAAGTCAATAGGTAGGTGTTTATTCTTAGCTCATTTTGTCATAGGAAAAAAAAAAGACACTTGCACAAATGACCTTTTCATCCCCCTTCTGGGAAGCAGAAGTTGTCACCCATAGTTTTCATTCTAGAAATTTGGGGCACTTCTTTATTGGTGAACAAAGTGATGTCCCTCCTCTTGACAGAAGAATTACCAGGCTGTGTTATCAGACTATAGTGCTTGTTTACCAGAGATAGCTTTACCAGACTAAGCTTTGATGGCTCACAGGACAGATGTAGTGACATAAAGTGAGCAAGGTGGCACATCCATGCCAGAGAGATACTCAAGCTTTAGTAGTTTTCTTAGAATGCAGATTCCTCTGTTTTTTGTTTGGTGTTCGGTTTGTTGTGTTCACCTGGAAATTTCAAGGTCTTCCTCTTTCAAAACCCCAGATATTGTTTAGTGCACACACATCTTGCAGTAAAAATTTACTTTATAATATAAGCAAGAGAAATGAGGATTCACAACTTTCTTATGTTTTCACATCCAGACTGACAACCTTCTGAGAGATATGTTGTCAGACAAGTTACTGGGCTCAGTTTAGAGGTACTGTGTGAAGACTAGTGACTTTGATATACAGAGATTTTTATTGTTCCTTCTGGCATAACTTTCTATGCAAGAGTTATCTGTAGGGCTCTTAGCACAGAAAGATAGCACATGATGGTGCCTTGTAGGCTTTATTTGCTTTCTTACATGGTTCTCCTGGAAATTCTCAGATGTAATGTCTATAGAAAAAGCAAGTTTGGCCATGGGCTTCCTACTGTCTGATGTGTGTACTCTTGTAATTCTTTTGTTCTTCTTGAACATGAACTGTAGTGATAGGTGTAGGTAGATGTGCACATGGTTTTTATATCCAGCAGTAATTGAAAAGTCATCTGTGGGCTTTTTGGGATGCATGTGTGAGTAGTCTTCTGATTCTGATAAAAGCTCACACTGGTTTCTCCAGACTCACAAACACCCCTCATTAACAGACCATACTTAAAATCACTTTTCTATTATTTTCCAGGGTTTTTTTATTTTCAGTTTTCCTTGTGTTTTGGCAAAAGATGATCCTTTGGTTTTTTAATTTATTGTAATATGACCCAAACCCCACATATGCTCTGTTTTTGAATTTCATTTCACACAGCTCCTGAAGGTTTAATAACTTTTCCACCTAACTTCTGTGGGTCAGAAAGAATATTGTGCTACCCCTGCTGTGTTCCCTGCTTGCTTTGTCTGGATTTAATGCCCACAAGATCATGCAGAGCTGTGCCACTGTGGTATACAGGACACTGCACTACCATAAGGAGACTGGGGAGAAAGGGGCTTTGTTTCTTAATAATGTATTTATTTTTGTAATTTAATTTGGTAGCCCATTTTTCACGGGTTTACAATCCCAGAATACATAGGTTTCACCCATAATAAAAAATGAAGAATGCAAAAAATCATAGAAATTCCTGGTTTGGAAAAAGAAGGATGCAGGATTGGTGATGGTGAGAGAATAGGGAGAGAGCAAGAACTGAGGAATGGTGAGACATTCAGAGAATATGTGTTTTGGGTGGGACATTGGAAACTGCAGAGAAGACGGCTTGAATAGCAAGTGAAATGGAGGAATTGGGGAAGTTTTAAGGAATGCGAAGAGACCTGCATGAAGAGAGCAAGTTAAAATTCTGTAGCTGTGAAAAGGACATGATATTTTAAGAGATGGGGAACTCTGGAAGGAGATGAGAAGTACCTGTTGTTTGAGGACAACAGGCTTGCAAAGGTGAGGCAGGAATGACTTCAGCAATGGTTCTTTTGATAGCACAGAGGTGATGGTGGAATTATTTGTCAGGTTGAATGACCTGAAGCTGAATGGCCATTATACAAAAATCATCCTTGGTATGTGTTCATGCATGAATGACAGGTAGCAGTAGACTAAATCTCTGCATCATTCTTGTGCTTGTTTCTGGATCCCATAATTTGCTTTAACAGGAAAATCTCCTTTCATGTTCATGGTGTTGTATCCATTCTGTGCATTTAATGAGAATGAGTATGCACATATATGTAGAAGCTGTATGGCAGGTACTGAAGTTAGTAATCCATAATCACAATGTGAGTATTGACATGAGCTGTGTAAGTATGTGGTAGGAAAGATGTTTCTCTTCAGGAATAAAATTTAACAATTGTCCTCATTGTGAAATATCATGTATTACAAATGTCTGTCACTACTAGCAGTACAGCTCATTTAGTAGTGCCGGATGATCATGTATGGAGACAATTTGCCAGAAAATCTGGGCACTTAGTACTAAGTAACAATGATTTTGAAATATAGCCTGCAATATTATAATTACCAATTATTTTTCTCCTTTTATTTTATGTTCAGTAAGAATTGTAGTTCTTCACCATTCTGTCAAGATAAACAGACAGTCTCTGAGAATACAGTAGAATATGTCTTTTTTTATTTTACTAGGTTGAAGAGATTTTTTGCAGGAGTTTCTAGTCTTTGCCTTCATAGTTTCTGCAAGTCCATTTTTCCATGAGTCAAACATCAGAGATCAGAACCTCTGTACTTAGCTTTAGTAGCCTTTCACAGTTTAGCACTGCATACTTAATTTTTGTTGAGCTGAATTCTTGGAACAAAAAACCCAGAAATGCTGTGGATTCAGAGATGCAAGTGGATTCTTGTCATTTCACCTCTGCATGTCCTGGAGTAACATCAGTTAACAGACATTGTTGATGGATGTTTGAAATTAATAAATGGTATCTCTTTTTGTTCCCAAGAGCCGGATGTTGTGTCCTAAAAAAATCTCACATTTTGAACAGAAAATATGGTTTGCTGATAGTTGTTATTGAGAGATCAAGGGCTGAAACAAAGGGAAGGATGTGGTGGGTTCTACTTTGAGGAGCTATGGTTCCTACTGAGGCACTTTGAGTGTAGCACTGCTTAGGTACTGCATCTGCTCTGCAGATAGAAAGGACAAGAGTCCTACACTGTCAAAGTGACATCTTTCATGAATTCTGTGGGTGTTATCCTGAAATTAAAGAGGTTTCATCACTGGCATTGAGGGAAGCAGAATTATGCTCTTCTGTGGCAGGCATGGGGATAAGCCTTTCTATTGATTTATCATAGTGCTAGCAAGAAATTACAATGCTAATATTTTTAAAGCGATTACTGCATACAAATAAGAGAATGTTAATGAAAGTGGGAAACCTAGCACTATTCCAGAACTTGCAAGAAATAAATATTTAACCATTATATTACAATTCTGAAATGAATGTGAGAACATGTCTCTGGATAGTTAAAAGGCTTTTTACCCAGTATTGACTCAACAGTTGGTGCTGCAAATAAAATACGAGTTTGTCACGTATGTAATTGAATAATATTTCAAGCCATCAAGGATTTTGTTTCTTAGAAAATAAAAAAGAATTAAAATCAATCCTGCAGTCAAAATGTATGATTTATTTTAAACACTTTCAAATACCTTAAGAGCGAATTGAGATCAACTTGATAATTTAAGTGATCACAATGATTTCTTAATTTATGATAATGTGAATTATCATATGCAAAGAAATCTTGATGATCCCTCTAAACTAATGCAGATCAGAGAATAGTGTAGTTAATGAAGTGTTTGAGGAAGAGTCATTCTGCAAATAGTGCTGCTGTAGCTCCTTAGTGCTGCTATAGCTCTTTAATCTCTGAGTTGCAAAAAGTTGCTCTTGGGTGAAACTAGTTTTTTTGGGATCGTAAACTTTGTGCACTTAAAATCAGGTCGGAATCTTGCCATGTTTTATATTATTTTTAGTAATTATTAAGTCAAATTAGTTTGGAATTTTAATTTTTACCTCACTAAACCATTGTCAGTTTGGGGCTGGATAGTTGTGGGGGGCTTCACTAAACCAGCCTTCATAACAAAACATAGAGATGAGAAGGAGTCAAATTGTTTTGAAGGTTTTAGGTTTTTTTAAATTAATTTACCACAGAACCATAATGTATTTTACAGCAAAACAGCTTGTCTTGCCTGAGGTGGGTTCAAGCCCAGAGTTAAGTAAACCACATAGCATGATTTCATTACACTTTCCTATTTGCCCCTGAAATTCTCACCTGCAGAGGAAGGAACACAAACTTTATTATACAATTAAGGATTTGATGGAGCTTTTATTATGTGAGAGATCCACAAGGGGGAGACTTTATTCTAGAATAACCGTGTTGGGGACACTTCCCTGTGTCAGAGACCTAGGCAAGGTGGGAGGCCAAAACACCTTTTGCTCAGTGCTCTCTTGGCTTCCTGGCTTTTTGTATTTTTAGGTACCATATCTACCACTGATAAGCTGTAGATTTATGTAAATCCTTATGAAGTTGGCATCTTAAAAAAAGCCAACAAAAAAAACAAACCCTGATAGTGGGGGAATGTCACTGAATATTCACACACAGGGATCAGAGACAATTATTTTTCCAGATTTACACAACTTTTAAATAATGACTGTCCTGTGCTTTACAATTTCTTACTTTTGAGCTACTGCAGTAGTGTGCTTTTTCAGGCTTACATTCATGTTGGTGATCCTAGTCTAAAATTTTTAGTAGTTTCTGGG